CGGTCTTCCTTTTTAGCTCTCGTTTGTGTTCTGGGTCTCCTGTTCGTTGAGCTAGTCTTCTTGCCCTGTTTCTGTCGGTGATCTTCTGGTTCACCTCTGGGGGTAGGTCTCTGAACCTGTTGGGCAGCGTGATGTCTTCTACCGTGGTAGTAGCATCTAGCGCGTCCTGGATCTTCCGTTCTAGGCCCTGAACTGCTTCCTCTATGCCTTCAGGAGTCTCTATCTGAGGTAGTGGGCCGAGTGAGTAGTGAAAGGTTCGCCGGAACCGGTCCCAGTTCACTCTTCTGGCTATCCTCTTCTCCACGTTTGGTGCTCCCTCTCCTATTTCCAGGAATATGGGGTTGTGGTCAGAGCTTCCTTCTTGTAGAACACCAATGTTGCAAGACACGTCTACCTTTTTCAAGATAGCAATGTCTATTACATCAGGCCTTGTACCGTTGTCTGGGTACAGCGTGGGTTCGTCAGGTCCTAGTATGGAGTACTCCGGTTCATCCATCAGCCTCGCAAGGATTTCGCCATGTCTGTTGTTCGTGCGCGAGCCCCAGATCCTAGATTTGGCGTTCAGATCTCCTATGATGACAATGCTCTCGCCCATTCCGCTGATTTGCGTGATGTCGTCCATATGCAGAGTCACCGTTGGTGGTATATATACCGAGATGATGTTCAGCGTGCCGTAGTCCTCCGTGTACACGGCTATTCCTACTGCTTCTGTAGTCCTCAGATCGGGGATTCCTAGCAGGTCGTGGCTGATGCTGCTCCTTACGGAGATCAGCACGCCTCCGCCTCTCTGGTCTCGGTCCTTCCTGTACGTCGTGTACCCTGGGAAGGTCCAGTTTGGAACTCTGCTTGAGAGCATTGTCTCTTGTAACGCCATCACATCGTAGTCCCCTCGAGTTAGCAGTTCTCCTATCTCGTACTTCTTGTTGGAAGCACTATGTACGTTCCAACTCAATATCCGTAGGGTCCTAGATGTTGGCAGGCTGCCCATTTAGTTGGCGTTTCTTCTGTTCTTGCTTGTCATGAATGCCTCCTTGGCTTCGGGGGTATTCATGATGAGCCTCTTCATTTGGGCCATGTGGGTTTCCATGAACCTCTTCAGTTCATCCCCGTCTTCTTCTTCCCGGTTTGTGGAGGGTCTTTCCTGCCTTCGGGGGCCGTCTCGTTGCTTCTTGCAGCCCTTGCGTAGCTCTGTCCTGGTCTTACTGGGGCTGGCTTCGTGATTTTTCTTCTCCTCCGCGGCGGGTTTGCTCTTTGGTTTTGAGCTCGGGCGTCTTGGGCATCCCCCGTAGTTCGCTGGGTGGCTCCCACCACAGTTGGCGCAGGTTGCCGCTCTTTCTTGTGGCACTTTGCACTCCGATGCGCGATGTGCCCCTGCACATCTCACGCACTTCGGTGCCCCGGAGCAGTTCTGCTGGCTGTGCCCGAACTGCTGGCACCTGTAGCACTGGCCCGGTCCTTCTCTCTTCTTCTGTGCCTCGATCTTTACTATCATCTGACAGCATTCTGTCAGATCGTAAATCCTCTTTTCTTCCTTTGGAAGATCCACCTTGACCAGCGGGATCTTCTTCCTGGTTCGCCTGCTGGTGAGTCTGTTTACTCTTCTTGGGTGGAATCCTTTAGATTCCAGGTCCTCTTTAACTTCGTCTTCCCCCGTCATCAGTGGCATGCCCCTGATGATAACTGACAGGGATTTCTCGTCTGGCAGGGAGTAGGTGTGGTGTTCCACCTTGTTCTCCTCGAGCGTCTTCCTTACGCTTCGGAATTCATCCTCAGTCGTCAGTTGGACCTTTATGCCCGTCCTAGTGAGTTTTGCCGGCTTGTCGGCTGGGATCTTCTTTCCCTTCTTCATGGTTTGCCACTGGTCTTCCCTATGTATAATAGGGGTGGCGGCCTTCTTGTTTTAGGTTGGGAGCTGGCTGGGCCTGCTCGGTATCCATCCTATCTTCGGTGGTTGACGGGGGGGGTGGGTGGTCTTCTCCTCCACTGTCTTCTTCTTCGGGAGCGGGGGGAAGGGGTCCACTGCCGCTTTCTTGGAGGCTGGTTTCTCGTCAGCCTCCTCGGTCTTATCGGCCTTCCTCTTTGTCTTCTTTTTGGGATCGTCTATCTCAATCCCTTGTCTTGCGGCCATGAGCTCGATGAGCTTGGCCGTCTTCTCGCGCTCTTCGGCGCTTATCGAGGCATCTCATCGTCGCATTCACGTCTAATATTCGCCGGTATCTCGATAATGGGACATATCGGGACCGAAATCGTCGATTATTGTAATTCAAGAGCCAAAACGTATAAGTCGATCAATTTCTCATATCCGATAAACTCATTTATGTGAGTGTTTCTTTTTATTTTGTATAAAAAAAAATAGAAAATTAATGTGGCGGTTCTATCGGCAGATCCATTCTTTCTCACAGAGTATATGGTGGTTCTGAAAAGAACCGTTTTTTTTTTTTTTTTTTTTTTTTTTTTTTTTTTTTTTTTTTTTTTTTTCTTTGTATTGTATTTCGTTCAACCTGTACCGTGGTAATTGCTGCGGAGTGTTTAACCACCGAATCCGTACAAAGTGCGTCCTTGTCTCTTTAATGCATATACGACGTCCATTGCAGTGACTGTCTTCCTTTTAGCGTGCTCGGTGTAAGTGACTGCATCCCTGATTACGTTCTCTAAAAAGACTTTGAGCACTCCTCGAGTTTCTTCGTAAATCAATCCGGATATACGTTTTACTCCTCCACGTCGCGCCAATCTTCTTATGGCCGGTTTCGTAATTCCCTGGATGTTATCCCTCAAAACTTTACGATGCCTTTTCGCTCCTCCTTTTCCCAATCCTTTACCACCTTTACCGCGTCCAGTCATTTTTCAAGATTCTCTCGCACGTCGAACTGTTAAAGCGAACGGGCTGTTGCCAACTGACGGTACGTCTCTCGTGACGCCCGGTTTTGTTAGCGTTGTCGTCCCTCCTATTGGTCTATCAATTGGCCAATCAGACTGTTTCGTATTTCGAGCCCATATAAATATAACTGTTCGCGGTGTTTACCTCCGCTCACTATAATATTGTCCGTTGCAATATTCACGTCGCTGCTATAGATAATTTATATTCAGTTATCTGAAATTTAACGTAATGGCGCGTACCAAGCAGACGGCTCGTAAATCCACCGGAGGTAAAGCTCCCAGGAAGCAATTAGCCACGAAGGCTGCCCGTAAAAGTGCTCCTGCTACTGGCGGAGTTAAGAAACCTCACCGTTATCGTCCGGGAACTGTGGCTCTCAGAGAAATTCGTCGTTATCAGAAAAGTACCGAATTGTTGATCAGAAAATTGCCTTTCCAACGGCTGGTCCGTGAAATAGCGCAAGATTTCAAGACCGATTTGCGATTCCAAAGTTCTGCTGTAATGGCACTCCAAGAAGCTAGCGAAGCGTACCTGGTCGGACTATTCGAGGATACGAACTTGTGCGCGATCCACGCTAAGCGAGTAACGATCATGCCGAAAGATATACAGCTGGCAAGACGTATTAGGGCGAACGTGCCTAATGGAATTGACGGATTTACTATTTGCCGGAAAGAGAGAGAGAGAGAGAGAGAGAGTACGGCGTGCGATAATAGGTTATAAAAAAAAAAAAAAAAAAAAAAAAAAAAAAAAAAAAAAAAAAAAAAAAAAAAAAAAAACGGTTCTTTTCAGAACCATCATATAGTATGTTCAGAAAAAGGGGATCGTGTATTATGTTAAGTATATCAGATTTTGTTTGTACGCGTGCAATTTCGACACTATTATCGTGTATGCAAAATAGCGCTAAATGTTATACGATAGTCGCTAGTTATTACCCGTTATCCTATATCGAAGGATTGTGGTGCTTTGTAGTAAACCGTTACATTGATATTATTCTAATAACGTACGAATTGTATGTATGTGTATGGAAGTAAAATAACTTATAAGTAGCATGTGATTATAATGTAGATAATTCGACATAATATAGATATTTTGCCGTTATATTGCTTAGGCGTTTAGGCAGGCTGTTAGCGTGTAATACGTACATTAGGTACTTTCACGTAGATCAAAAGTCAGTAATGCGTACGTCTAATAATTAATATGTAGTAGAAGATGAATTTATAACTCGATCGCTCGTATATTATATATAATATTTTCTACTCTGGCTTATTTATTACGAATAATAGATTGATGTCTCATATTATTATCTATTTTGTCATATTACAGGAGTAATGTTAAAATTATCGCGATATATTTCGCGACTGTGCACGTTCGGATGTACGCCAGACACCTCCGTATAATTGCGATTATCTAAAATACCTTATCCATTAGCCGTATACCGACAGTATAATTGTATTACGAATAGTCGTAGATTGTTAATTTCATGAAATATCTAATTATAAACGTATTCGTATAATATAAATTAGATCAAAAAGCCGGACGATTAGGTCCAAAGCGGATACCTTGCACGTTTCACCTTATAATTTTATCGTGTACGTAGCGTACGTGATCAAGTCGCGAAGTTAAATGTGTATTTCAAATTATGCAGATTTCATATTCGTTCAGGTTTTAGCTGTTGCTCGTATGCAATTATATCAGCGACTCAAAAAACCAACAGATACGACCGCAGGCTTGGCAGAATTGAAGCCGTCGAAATCGGTTTCGCTGCAAAGTCGGAGCGTTCAATGTTCGGTCCGACCGAAATGACTTGGGTCACGCGCTGAATTTACCTCTCACATTCATTCGACATTCGTTCTCTTAGCGAGATCGTCGATCAGTGATTGCAAAAGATCGCGCGTATACAATAATCTGTCTCCTCTTCCGACGACTCGTAAACATGGCAGATACGGAAAACCAGAATTACGCCGCGTCGGCTACGGCTACCGCGAATTCTGCGTCGCCGACGTCGCAGTCGTCTGCGAAAAAGGAGAAAAAACCGAAGAATCCGAGGGCGAAGCCGTCTCATCCTCCTACTAGCGAAATGGTCATCAACGCAATTAAAGGATTAAAAGAGCGTGGCGGGTCGTCTCTGCAAGCTATCAAGAAATACATAGCCGCTAATTACAAAGTAGACGCTGAGAAAGTTGCGCCTTTCATCAAGAGGTACTTAAAATCGTCCGTCGCGTCTGGAGCTTTAGTACAGACGAAAGGCAAAGGAGCTTCCGGATCGTTCAAGCTAGCTTCGTCATCGGCTGGCGGAGCGTCGAAAACTTCATCATCGTCAGCCGCAAAGGTTGGCGAAAAGAAGAAGAAATCCGCGAACCGGCTCAAAGAAGAGCGGAACCGTAGCTAAGAGAGCTAGCGGTGCGAAATCTGCGAAGAAGGCATCTCCGAAGGCTAAGAAACCGGCGGTGGCCGGTGGTGCGGCCGAGAAGAAAGCTTCTCCAGCTAAGACAAAGAAAAGTGGGAAATCGGCGACGTCGGCTAAAGCTTCTTCTGCTGCACCTTCTGCAGCGGCTGCAAAAAAATCTCCTTCGAAGGCGAAGAAATCCAGCAAGGGAGCTCCGACCAAGAAGCCAAAAGCACCAAAACCGAAACGGCGAAGGCTGCAACATCGCCAAAAAGGAAGGCCGCTTCACCCAAAAGAAGAAATAAAAAAAAATTTAGACGTGTTGCAACGTCGTAGATTACGGCTACGTCGGTTCGAGACGTTATATTTAGCGAGAGGATGCTATACGTCCCCGCGGATTGAAAATGGCCCTTTTCAGGGCCACCACTATTACTATAAAAAGGATACAGATATTTACGAATTAGCAATTTTGTATCGAAATATACATGTACAACTGCGGCTCGTACGTGCGTTGATGTTTTTTTTTTTTTTTTTTTTATTAAATTCGAGTATTATTCGTTTACGATTAGGTATTTATAAGCAAGTGGTAATGTTAGGCGTCACCATCGATATTTGCTTTTAAGGGTATAAATAAGTATGTATTGTGTTTAATTAAACGAATGAACGTTAAACAGTCGATTGCGTCGTAAGGATATCCCCTTTTTTTACGCTTTCGTTTACCATTAAATAATCCGGTCGGGTCTTATATCAGACGTTATTGCTTTAGTGGTGTATGTATATCACGAATAATCATCTGGTATTCAAGTACCAATAATATATATGTTGCGCGTACGGTGATATCATTATCTTTACTTGATAACTTTAGTGGTTCTGAAAAGAACCGTTTTTATGTTGTAAGTTGTTGTTGATGTTGTTGTTGTCGTCGTAGTTACATATTACTTCGAACTGGTGTACTTGGTTACGGCTTTGGTACCTTCGCTGACGGCGTGCTTGGCCAATTCTCCTGGTAGCAATAGTCGAACGGCTGTTTGAATTTCTCTGCTAGTTATCGTGGCACGTTTGTTGTAATGTGCCAATCGGGATGCTTCCGCTGCGATACGTTCGAAATATCGTTGACGAAGCTGTTCATGATGCTCATCGCTTTGCTGGAAATACCGGTATCTGGATGTACCTGCTTCAGCACTTTGTAGATGTAAATTGCGTAGCTTTCCTTCCTCCTGCCTGTTTTCTTTTTCTTATCAGACTTGGAAATATTTTTTTGAGCCTTACCGGCCTTTTTAGCTGCTTTACTAACCGCTAGTTTTGGTGGCATCGCGTTTCGATTTACACAAAAAGTACGATCTTTACTGACACAATATCGTGATCTATAATGGAAAGGTGTGCGGATACACACACACACCCTCCTACCCTGTGCGGTCCCTCCACCACCCCTGTTCCAGGCAACCTCAAACCCTTGAGGAGTGGGGGGAAGAGCAATCTGCTCCTCCCCCACTCCCGCCCAAAGGCCTGGAGTGGCGCTGCGTGGTTCAGGCCGCTTGCGCATTCCCCGAGTGTGTGCTGCCGAACGAGCTATCCCCCCCCCTTCCATTTTGCCCCTTTTTCCCGAAATTGAC